GTACTACTGAGCACACACTGTACTACTGAGTACAAACAGTACTACTGAGCACACACACAGTACTACTGAGCACACACTGTACCACTGAGTACACACAGTACTACTGAGCACACACAGTACTACTGAGTACAAACAGTACTACTGAGCACACACACAGTACTACTGAGCACACACTGTACCACTGAGTACACACAGTACTACTGAGTACAAACAGTACTACTGAGCACACACACAGTACTACTGAGCACACACTGTACTACTGAGTACAAACAGTACTACTGAGCACACACACAGTACTACTGAGCACACACAGTACTACTGAGTACACACAGTACCACTGAGCACACACTGTACTACTGAGCACACACTGTACTACTGAGTACACACAGTACCACTGAGCACACACTGTACTACTGAGCACACACTGTACTACTGAGCACACAGAGTAATTCTGACATAGTTTAGACTTCCACATTTGGTAGGACCAGTAACAGTCAGTTATCTTACTGGACTCAGATGCTCAGAGAGACAAGTCTGTTCAGGCTGTTTGTGAGGTAAGTAACATTCTAATAAACATGAAAAGTAGAATAAAAATAAAAACAACAGCTGCTGATGACCTCACTGGTGATTGCTTTCTTCTGAGGTGGTTAAAAAGGTTCGTCGTGTTGCCGTGAGACGTTTGAAACCTCGGGCTCTAGTTTCCCGGCACAGCGCAGGGTGGCACAGGGTGGCAAACCCCGCGCAGAGCTAGTTTCGAGCAGCGCAACCCGAGGCGCACTCAGTTTGGTAGTTTGGCAGACCGAGGTGCGCTGAGATGGGTGTGGCGGCACAGCAGGGGGAGGTGTCGACAGATCCAGCTTGGCGCAGTGACAGTTTCGTGCCAAAAGGCTTCGGCAAAGGTGCGCTAAAAGCTTGCCAACTGAAACCAGGTCTACTGTCAGCGCAGGAGGAGCGCAGCCGGTATAAGCCGAAGGTTGGCTGACCGGCGGACAGTGCACACACGTCACCAAAACCTCACAGGCAGGTTTCCAGAATATCAGGCACATTAACGATGCAATAAATACCCAAAAAACACAATTCAATGCAACTATCTGCAATCAGCACATAAATGTATCTCTATATCGACTGTCCCGTCACATCTGATGTCAGATCAAAGGGGATTGGCACCGTTTGGCACGTTTGGCACGCGTAATGGAAACCCAACCTGATTTGATTAAACAGCTGCAAACTAATGAGTTCACATCCCTCTCAGCCAACCACAAACAGCCACAGCATCAGATAGGGAGTATATATATTCAGCATCTGTCATCTTAGAAAAGTCAAAAGAAAAGAAACAGAGACAGAGACTGCGAGAGAGAAAGAGAGAGCGCGCACGCACGCACGAGAGAAACGCAGCATTGATTTACAGTTGTGGTGACCTCCTCCCAGGCTACCTTTGCATCATCAGCCCGTGGAGGTCTGCTCACAGTTCCGTATATTCGTACACTGCGAGCTTGGACCTCCCGGACCAAATCATCAGTTTCCTCCTGGGAGAAGTTTGGTCGTCTGACGCTGCTGCTCTCTTCTGCCATGGCGAATTGAGTAAACTCTCATTACGCCTTCGCGCGGCACATTTAAGGGCGAGGAGAGGGGCTTATTTGATTGGTGTGATGTGAATGGGCTGTGTAAAACCCACTCCACGCCTTCTCTCCTCCCTCTTTCCAACTTGCGCCGGTAGGAGGGACGGAGGTGGGATAGAGGAGTAGCCGAGCCAGGGCGCACGGTGTGCCAAACTTACAAAATCCGCCTGGCCACACCCAGTTGGCGAAGCGCAAGTGCGCTGCGCCCCCGCCTCGCCCGGTCTGTGAAACTAGAGCCCCTCATCTTAGCAAACTTTACAAGTAATCGCTGTTCGCACTGTGTCAGTTTTGGAAAATCCAATCAATTCCATATCACCAATGTTTGAGTTTTTTCTAGGGACCAACTCCTCTGTGATGTCAGCCGTGTTGCTACGTTCCTGAATACAAAGGGGGAGGGGCTACAGGATGTGTGTATGAGCCATAGAACTGTAACTCATAGAATGCGAACTGTAGCATGATACTAACCATCCCTCTTAATTGTTCATGATCTAATATCATCACACCGCCCACCCCTACCTTGGATACAACGGACCATCCTTTACCAAAGGAAATAATAACATCTCAAAATGTATTGAGGCAGCATTATTCAAAGTGACGCTCCGTTCAGCTGTTCATGAGAACAAATCAAATACGCCTACGATTCATCCCAACATACTGACTGGGAGTCATGTGATCAGTCTGAGTGACAGGAGGAGGAGTTTCACTGTGACAACTGTCTGGTTTCACTCCTGTTTTAATTATATTTTTTTTCCCCGTTAAAGGGTTTTTTTGGGGAGTTTTTCCTGATCAGCTGTGAGGGTCATAAGGACAGAGGGATGTCGTATGCTGTAAAGCCCTGTGAGGCAAATTGTGATTTGTGATATTGGGCTTTATAAATAAAACTGAATTGAACTGAATTGAATTTCAGCTTTGATGATGACCTCATTAACCCTTTTACACTGCCGTCATACTGCCTCAACGATCTGTTTAAAAGGTATGATCACAGGATGGGGACAGAGTTGCCTCGCCTTTAGCCCGCCACGGGAGGAAGTGACAGCATCGAAACTGTGTATAAACAGGACAGCTGGCAGTGCGGGTGGGACATCTTGACGACGTGTCCTGTGTGCGACCCATTGCTGGAGATTTAAAAGTAAAGTCCAGGTCAGACCAAACATTCACGATGAGATGAAATGGTTTTAGAACATTGCAGAGAAAAGTGTCAGCGGTGTGAACTGGCAGGTCTGAGCTCGACTCAAGCTGGCTGATGGTGTCACCTGACATTCAGCTGGTCAAGTCAGAACAGGATCATCTTTTCAAACAAACAAACAAACAAACAAACAAACAGTGTATCTGACAGACTGAGCTCTGTGAAGTGGTTCATGTTTCAGACCTCACTGTTTTAAAGACATAAAGTCAAAATCATAAAGTCCTGATTCAAACACTGACATCACATGAAGACACATAAACATGAATCATTTCACAGCCCCAGTTTTAAATATTTCCACACGTCTCATAAGGAGAGGTCAGAGGTTATATCAATTCTTTTTCATGAGGCCTGCTGAGCTGCTGGAGGACCACAGAAGAAGAAGACTCACTTGTAGTTTCTGCTCCCCACACAGTTGTTGAGCCAGCGACAGTGATGGTCGAAGTTAGACACACATTTGTTACAGGCGCTGCAATGCTTCGACTTGGGACCCCTGAAACAACACACAACACACACATTGTCAGGTACACACAGCACACACACACACACACACACACACACACACACAGAAACTGAAAAAATATTAATAGTTTTTTTTGTTGCAGAACTACATATATTCATTTTTTAATTTCTGTTCACCATGAAAAATCAAGACAATAATGAGGAAAAAATGTTTTCTGTGATTTCATGTGTTCATTTATAATCTCACAACAAAAACAATAATTACTAAACAACCACAAAAACAGATCTTTATATGTTCGATGACAGAGAAAAGTTTTCTGAACAGAAATCTGAGTTTCATGAAACTTTATTTATTTATTCATTTATTTATTTGTTTATTTATATGCATGAAATGAATATGATTTATAAAAGTATTTTCTGTTTTCATTTTTAAACTTCTGTCAGAAAACAGCCTCGTCCTAGACAGGTAGTCCCAACTTCAAAATATTAAACTAGAATCACCACCCTGTGGTTGTGTGGCTCCGCCCCCCAGCCCCCAAGATTGTTGTATGACTCCGCCCATCAGCCCACACCATTGTTGTATGGCTCCGCCCATCAGCCCACACCATTGTTGTATGGCTCCGCCCATCAGCCCACCCCGTGGTTGTGTAGTTGTGAACCACAACTACACGTCTGCAGGTCTGACCCACTTCTCTGCTCCTCTGGGAGGATCCAGACCACTGACCTGGTTTTATCATGCAGCTCAGGATCAGATCCATCAGGAGGATTCACATCAGACCTTCACTGAGCTGCTGGATTATTTACAGCGTGCTGCATTAAACATGGCGGCTGCTGTGAGCCAGGAGGAAGCAGCTCAGAGCGCTCTACCTGAAGACCGCCACGCCTCCTTACAGAGTCTCTTCCCTCTGCTGCAGGGGCGCTCAGGGTCTCACACTGTGGACAAACACCCAACTCCTCACCTATGGTTACCATGGATACAGTGAGTGGTTTGGGTGAGGATGAGGCTGATGTGACTGTGGACGCTGTGATTGGCACAGTCTGTGTTTAGATTCATGGTTACATCATTACAGTACGACCTCAGGCTCACTGACGGAGTCTCTGTTGGACCCCTTTAACTGGAACAAACAGACACTGTGTCCTCCACTGAGACACCCAGCTGGGACATGACGTCTGTCCAACACTCTGGAGGACACACACTCACCTGCTCAGGTAAACACACCTCAATCATCAGCAGGAAGCAGCACTTTGGTTCACACTGAAATATA